CTGAGCATCGCCAGGTGTGACCCAAAAAGCAAAAAAAAAAAAAAAAAAAAAAAGCTTCACCTGGATGATGGCTAGAATCTGGCATTCTTAGAGGCTCTGAAAGTATCTTTTCCCTTCACTAATATCTATGCAATACACTATAATCCTCTCTCACACACGAGCCTGTCCTCCTTACTTATCCATTAGCAACTTCCAAGCATATCCAAGGTCCCTTTACCAGCCTTTTTTTTTTTTTTTTGGTTTTTTGGCTTTTTGTGTCATATCTGGCAATACTCAGGGATTACTCCTGACTCTGCACTCAGTAATCATTCCTGATGGTGCTCCGGAGTGCCAGGGATCAAACTGGGCCACGTGCAAGGCAAACGCACTGCCAGCTGTACTATCACTCCAGCCCCCTCCCTCCACCAGTCTTACCTCCTTTCCTCATGCCAGTTGCAAAGACATCAAAAAAAAATTCTGATTATTTGGGTTTGGGGTAAGTACCTATCTATGGGCCAGTCTATAGTGGCCATGATAAAGCCATATGGCTAAAACACCACAGAAAGCATTTCATTCAAAAATCCTTCAAAATTTTCAAATTCAAATGAAATAATTCTCAATATGCCTTTTAAGCTAATCTCCCACTGCTTACATAAAACTTCACAACAGACATAATTATTCACTAATTCAAAATATACTGCATGCCTTCATTGCTCCATGTTTTGCTCATTCTGTACTCTCTGCCTCTAACAAACTCTATCTGCATCCTCTCAAAAATTGTCCTTAAAAATCCAACTGAAAATTCATTCCATACTATACTCCTCTCAAAATTGGTCTGTTTATCTTCATCACTCCCAAAGCCCGTCTTGTGCATAATTACAAGTCTCCTGTCCCCCAGTATTTAGACTCGTTGTGTTAGAAACTCTAATATATTCATCTCTCTATCATTTCTATCATAATGTTACACCGATTTAATCAGATCTTTCTGATTACATATCATCAACCACTGGTTACTAAATAACAATCCCTTCATTTTTTTTTAAGCTTTTGGGCTACACCCAGCAGTTATTTCTGGTGGTACCTGGGAGAGCAGGCTGTGTGGAATCTAACCCAGGTGCCTTGCATGCAAAACATCCGCACTCTTTGGGCTATCTCCCTGGCCCCGGGTAAGATTTTTGAAACTTCCTCTTCAGAGACACCAGTACAAGAACTCTTTGAAATAGACAAAAACCACCAAGAGACCATTAAATGATCTCACTGTCTCCCAGAGGCAAAGTCAAATTTGAAAAAGAAATTTTTGAATCTTGAACACAGCATCAAGAGATATACTCAAAGTTTAACATTTTGTGCTGAACTAGAATTTCTCCAATACACTAAAATAGCAAAGATATCTTTAAAAGGCTCCCTTCGACCCAATCCCATCCCCACCCAAACAAAGGAAAAGTTACATAAATAAATGGTGGAATTTTCTGCCGCTCTTCACTCACAATTCCATCCTCAACACTTTTCTCAAATCACAACACAGCTTAAAACTGTTTATCAGCATAGCAGATTCAATGTTTACAGCATGGCAGACAGAAAAGAGAAGCAAGCATTTACTAATTGTATAAATTATTTGGCAAAACCAGCATTTGGAGATTAACTTCACACATCCTCAAGACTGATGTTTCCTTCCAGTGTGACTGACCAATTTTAAGTCAAGGGCGTTCAGTGCACTTCATGTCAGAATAAGCTCTCAGGCTCAGTCTGCTGAAGAATCTAAAGCCTAATGTGGGACTTGGCCTCTGATTGTCCAGGAATCCCCTGAAGCTATGAAATATCAGTGTAGAGAGGACAAGAAGAATTGTAAAAAGTCATAGCTTTGGAGGACATGTCCATTCAGAAGACATGCAAAATCTCAATATGCAGTTTTCCTAAATTAAGCATATATTTGCTGGATAATAAGGTTGAATAAAGTTCATATGACCTGTAAAACCAAATGAACTTTTATTCCATGTAATACAACTATAAAGTTTGCTACTTTGATTTACCAAAGACTAATTATGTGCCAGGTGCTTTTAAGTACATCTTATCTCATTTAATCCTCTCAATAATCCTGTGCACTTTTTATAGTGAAGTAGCTAATAAACAGCAGAGCTGGGATTAAACCTATGTCTAGCTAGCTGATCCTCAAATCCACATCCCTCCACTCTAACACACAACCTCCTGTTTGCTCTGATAAATAAGCTTTGAAATTTTAAGAAACTGAACACTTGAAACTAATATACTAATATGCTTTACTGACCAGAAGATGAATGTCAGTGGATATCCACCTTCTGGATGGATATCCACTGAGCCTTAGTGGACCAGAAGATGACGTCAGTAAAATAAAAAACAAACCTTGTACAGGGGCCAGAGAGATAGTACAAGCAGTAAGGCATTTGCTTGCACACAACCGACCCAGACTCAATCCCACTCCAAATGATCCCCCAAGCACAGTCAGGAGTCATCCTTGAGTACAAAGTCAGGAGTAACACCTGAGTACCATCTGTGTGGAGCACAAAGAAAGAAACCTGGCAAAACAAGTCTAGAGTTTACACTTAATAGTAGGTACCAATGTCAAGTTGTCTGGACCAATGCACCACTATGTTAGATGTTAACTGTGGGAAAGTAGTTCTTTTTTAAAAAAGCAGATGGATAGGGGCCGGAGTGATAGAACAGTGTGGAAGGTGCTTGCCTTGCATGAGGCCAAGCCAGGTTCAATCCCCAGCACCCAAACAAACCCCAGCACCCCATATTGTCACCCAAGCATTGCCAGGAATGATTCCTGAATGTAGAGCCAGGAGCAAACCCTGAGCATCACCGAGGGTGACCCAAAACAAATAACAAACAAAAAAAATAGAGGGAAACTTTACTCCTTTGATGACTTTTATATAACTCAGTTACTCTAAAATAAGTGTATTTTTAAATTTTTTTAATTTTTTAATAGAATCACCATGCAGTAGAAAGTTTCATGAACATACAAAGTTGTTCATGATTGAGTTTCAGTCGCACAATGCTCCAACACCCATCCCTTCACAGTGTACATTTCCTACCACCAATGTCCCCTGTTTCCTTCCTGATACCCCCTCCTCTACACCCAGCCAGCCTCTATGTCAGGCACTTTTCTTCTCTCTTTTTTTTTAATCTGTTTTTTGTTTTTAGGCACTGTGGTTTGCAATACTGTTATTAAGGGGTATCGTGCAAAATAAGAAGAATGTGTATTTTTAAAACTTCAAAGAAGATTATTAACCTCATGCTTTACCTTAAAACTCGAAACTTAGATATTTCCAATGGGATGGAAACACATGCTCTTTTTTATGATTCTGAGTTTTACATCTACCAAAAATGTCCTTTCTGGGTTCAGGAGGGTATAAAAGCAGTAAAATGCAAACTCAAATGACAAAATCTTGGTTGACTAGCAATAAAATGCGACTTGCACATGAAAAAGAATACCCCGCCACACTGATTATGATAGCAGGTGACCTAAACAGCTGCTTTGTAATATGCTGATATATACAGTTATGGGCGATGAGAAAGCAGGAACAACCTACCGCCACCCTAAAGTAATGGTTAGGACACTGAATTAAAATGCTGAATTTTGAGCACCAGCAAGTGGACCCAATTGATGCACCACAATCCAAGAACCAGAGATGGGTTGGTGTTTTTTGTTTTGATTTTGGGTTTGAGTGAAGGAAACGGAGGTTGATGTTTTTTGTTTTGATTTTGGGTTTGAGTGAAGAAAAGGGAGAGAACTGCTAAGAGCAGCAGTCTCTGCCCCAGGCCCTTCACCTCAACCCAGAGGGCAGTCTTCCATCTGTCTGTACTGCAGGAAGGGTTGCTGATCCTGCACCGATCTCTCGCAGGCACATGGTGATGGTGTGGCCTCCCAGGAATCTGATCTTCAAATTACTGTCCATCCATTTACACTAAAAAGCCCCTTATAAAAGGCTGCCATCTCCGTACTGTCATGATAATCTAAAGACTACATCTCTTCCACCCCATTCATCCAAAAGCTTACAGTTACTATTCTATATGCTTAGTTAATTGATGTTCAACTCAGTTGGGTTGCAGGTCCTCCAGGTAACTTAAAACACATTTCTGAAACTTCCTGTTTTTGTCTTCTCAGCGACCTATTTGCGAGGTTTGTAGTAAGGTTTTCAAGTATCCTTCCTTTTGGAATTTTTATTATGAAAGTTTCCACCTCGGTACATTCCAGGATGCCCTTCTATTCTTGGCCCTTTTCAATCAAAACTCCCAAGATAAAGACATGGGAAAGGGGTGTGTGTGTGTGTGTGTGTGTGTGTGTGTGTGTGTGTGTGTGTTTAGGGAGGCGGGGGGGGGGGGGGTTGGGTGGGGGGGTCGATAAGTAGATAGTTGGGAAGCTTCGGAATTGTCGGCTTTAAATTTTGGATATCTGGGTGCTGGGGTTGGCCTCTTTTGTCTCGAGTTTAGTATCCGGACCTTAAGGCCACACGATTCCTATTCCCGCTGGAGTCGTAGAAACTCTCTTGGAGAGAAACCGGCTGTCCAGTTTTCGGGCCACGGTAGGCAATTTCCCGCCCAGGAGCAAAGCCTGCAAAGAATGTCGGTGTTTCCCTTCAGGTATAGGTGCCTGGGGGTCAGGGGTAGAGGGAAAGGCAAGGGGTGGAGTGGAAGGCGGGTGATCGACAGGGATAGAAACGGCGTCTCCTCCTCCCCCTGAATGCGAAATAGCCAATGAGGTAGCGCGGCCGGGCCGGCCGGGCCGCCAGTGCCATATAGTATGCAGCGACCCGAGGAGTCACGTTGGGGGAACGGCAGAAAGCAGCTATCCTTTTACACTACTTTGCTCTAGCAGCTATCTTAATGGTGACTGCGTGGCCGGGGGGAAACCTGATCGGCCAGATCCAGCCGAAACCCGGAGGGAGGGAGTGGGCTTTCCGGAGGGGGGGAGGGGGGAGGGAGACGAAGAAGGAGGAGTAAGAGAGGGGGAAAAGAAAGAGGAAAAAGAGTGCGAGGGAGTGAGGGAGGGAGGAAAATAAACAACAAAAAATGTCCTCTTCCTCCCCCACCGGGCAGATCGCAAGTGCGGCGGACATCAAGCAGGAGAATGGGATGGAAAGCGCCTCGGAAGGGCAGGAGGCGCCGCGAGAAGTGGTGGGGGGCGCGGCGGCGAGGCTGAGCCCCTCGGCTCCAGCCCCTTTCCCCCTGGAGCCGGGGGACGCCGCGGACGCCGCCGCCAGGGTGAGCGGCGAGGAAAGGGCAGCGGCGGCGGCCGGAGCGGCGGATCAGGTACAACTCCACTCGGAACTTCTGGGCAGGCACCACCACGCCGCGGCCGCCGCCGCCGCCGCCGCCGCCGCCGCCTCGCAGACCCCCCTGGCTTTCTCGCCCGACCACGTCGCCTGTGTGTGCGAGGCGCTGCAGCAGGGGGGCAACCTGGACCGCCTGGCCCGGTTCCTGTGGTCCCTGCCCCAGAGCGACCTGCTACGTGGCAACGAGAGCCTGCTGAAGGCGCGGGCGCTGGTGGCCTTCCACCAGGGCATCTACCCCGAGCTCTACAGCATCCTCGAGAGCCACAGCTTCGAGTCGGCCAACCACCCTCTGCTGCAGCAGCTCTGGTACAAGGCGCGCTACACCGAGGCCGAGCGCGCCCGCGGCCGGCCGCTGGGCGCCGTGGACAAGTACCGGCTGCGCAGGAAATTCCCCCTGCCCCGCACCATCTGGGACGGCGAGGAGACGGTGTATTGTTTCAAGGAGAAGTCGCGCAACGCGCTCAAGGAGCTCTACAAGCAGAATCGCTACCCTTCGCCCGCCGAGAAGCGGCACCTGGCCAAGATCACCGGCCTCTCCCTCACCCAGGTCAGCAACTGGTTCAAGAACCGCCGGCAGCGCGATCGGAACCCCTCGGAGACCCAGTCGAAAAGGTGAGCGCCAACTTTCCTCCTCCTCCCCCCCCACCCCCTTTCCCAGCTTTCTTTTCCTCCAAGTGCTCGCAAACATGGCGCTTACCTTCCCCACCAGTCTGGTCCGGCTGCCCACCTCTCCCCGCCCCCCACTTCTCTCCCGGACCCGGCGAGGGAGGTGGGGGGAGGCGGCGGTGGCGAGGGGCGGGGGAACCTCCCTCCCTCCCCTCCCCCTCTTCCCCCCAGAAGTTTCTCGTCGCCCGCCTGGGTCTCAGTCCCCGCCCCCACCTCGGCTGGTCACCGCTGCCCGGTTTCCCACCCCGATCGCGCCCGCTTTGAAGTCGCCACTCTCCTCCCGGGGCTTGTGGCGGGGCTGCGGGAGGGCGTGTAGGCGCCGGCGAAGCGGCTCCGGCCGCCGCCCGGAGCCCGCCGAGGGGGCCCGCGCCGCCCGCCGGCCCGGGGGTCTCGGCACCCCGCACCCGCGAGCGCGTTCCGTGGCTGCCGAGATCCGGCTTTCCCCCACCCCCCCCCCGCCACCCCTATCTCGGGGCGGGTGCTGGAGGTCGCCGTGTGGGCCGTTCTGGGGGGTGGACTGCGGGGTGTGTGTAGGGGGGGGGGGGTGGTGAGGGACTTGGCGATGCAAAAAAAAAAAACGTTTTGGGGACGTCGAGGTTTTTACATGACAGAGTTAATCATTCACCCGGCCCGCTCCGTTTCCCTTCGCGGCCGCGGCAACGTGGGGTGTAGGGACGGCTCGGCTCGGCAGTGTTTTGAAACCTGATTCTGAACTCTTTCGGATCGGGTTTCAGCGCCGCCGGGGCTGCAGGGATGCTTGCCTCGGGCCCTGCCGGGGACGGTGGTCGCGGGTGGCGGCGTCGCGGCCGGAGGCGGAGTCCGCGGGGACCCAGTCGGCTCCGGCCCTCCGAGGCGCCGGCCGCCGCGCGTCGGAACTTTTTGACTGGCAGGACCCCCGCCCCCCTCCTTCCCACCCCAGCTAGTAGAAAATGCGGGTTTCCCATCTTTTGAGCGCGTCCTCCCGAGGCGAACACCTGGTGTGTCTGTTGTGGGGACAAGTTAAACTAAGGTGAAGGTCGCCTGGAAAGAAACGGTGTCCGCCGCCCCGCCCGGGCGGGGGACAGAAGGACTCCAAAAGCCGCTGGAAGGGTTTGCTCGGGAAATGAAGGCATCTAGGAACCGAGGAGCCCGCCGGAGCCTTGGCGGAGGTGATCACCCTGCATTCCAGGGCCCGCCTCGGCCCGCCCCTGCCGCGCGCCCCCTGCGCCCCTGCGGGGGCCCGAGGCAGCGAGGGAGGTCCTGTGCCAGCCCAGCCCCGCCGTTAACCAAAGCAAAACGCGACTTGCGGGGGGGGGGGGGGGGGGGGGGAAGCGCGTGGCTCCCGCCACCTGCCCTGGTTGCCTGTGAGCTGCCGGGGATCCCGTCGTCGGGCTAGGGACATTAGAGGGGGAGAGAGAGAGAGAGAGAGCGCGGGCGCGTCGCGCAGGCCAGCTGCCCCACTGCCTCCACTCTCGGCCACCTTACCCCCCACCCCCCTCTACGCCACACCCCCGGCCCAGCTGCTTGGTTTGGGCCCCTCTCCGGATCTGCCTCTCCCCCACCCCCCACACCCGCACCCGCACCCCCAGTGAGTCACCCTCCCAGACGGCGAAGGCGGCTCAACCTCAGCTCGTAAATCAAAGCGCTTTCTGCGCTCCTGGCCCTGCAGCCTCAAACCCGAATCAGTCCCTCCAGGCCAAAGGCATGAAAGCGAACTGACCACCCCGGAGACTGCAGGAATACTGGGTCTTCTGCAGGGCCAGGTCTAGCCGTGTGCTTCCACGAAGCGTCCTACTCACTCAGTGCCTTTTCCTTCTCCCCCCACCCAAACTCTGACCAAATGGGAACCTCACACCCTAGGCCTTTCCCGGATTAGGTGTTTCTCCCCACCGGGGGAATCCAGCCCCAGGAGAAAGGAAGGACTTGAGGCTGGGGAAGGGGGTCTGACAGTTCCCTGCCCCTGAATGACCCACATCCTTTCCCTCCCACCTCACCAGGGCACTGGATGGTGTTAAGTAGGCCCCTATAGCTCCCTTTGGATTGAAAGGCGACTGCACATTACTGTTCTTGGGGTTGAAAGTGCCTTTCCTACAACAAGGTCAGCCACTTTGTTGAGAGAGTAGAAGTTTGGGAGCAGGTGAGAAAATGATGTCTTGCTAACTTAACTGGCAGCAGAACCCAACACTTACTCCATCTCTTGTGCCTTTGGCAATTCCACCTATTTCCAAAATCAGTCTAATCAGAATTGGTTTGAGGGGCAGGGAAGACTTTCCTAAGTTGGAAAGACTGATAGCCTTGTTTAATGAGTTTTTTTTTTCCTGTGGCAAAAGGTAGCAGCCTCTTCCATATTAAGGAGTTACACTTAAGTGCCTTTTACCCCCCCCAGCCCCAAATTTTATAGTTTTCCTGTAAACTACTCCGTCTTCCAGATCTACTGACTTGCCCTGAATGTATTAGTAAGAATGATTGCGATGTGAAAGTATATATTCCCAGATTCTCTGGGAATTCCAGGTCTGGTCAGAATTGAGCCTCAACTGGACTAAAACACCCTGCTGTGCTTTCCTTAAAAACTGCCTTTAATGAGTTTAGAGGCTGGTTCTCCAAACAAATGGCCCCGCGTAGAATGTCATCTGCTGACCTTCTGGATGTCTTGTTTCCCCCCTCCAGTGAGTCAGATGGCAATCCCAGCACTGAAGATGAATCCAGCAAGGGACATGAGGATTTGTCTCCTCATCCTCTGTCCAGTCCATCCGATGGTGTCACCAACCTCAGCCTTTCCAGTCACATGGAGCCACTATATATGCAGCAAATTGGAAATGCTAAGATATCATTAAGCTCTTCCGGAGTTTTGTTGAACGGAAGCTTGGTACCTGCAAGTACTTCACCTGTCTTCCTTAATGGTAATTCTTTCATTCAGGGACCCAGTGGAGTTATACTTAATGGATTAAATGTGGGAAACACACAGACAGTGTCACTGAGCCCACCGAAAATGGCATCAAATATTGTGAGCAATGGTATATCCATGACTGACATTCTGGGGTCCACCTCCCCAGATGTGAAGGAATTCAAAGTCCTCCAGAATTCTTCAGCTAACTCAGCGGTCACCTCCTCCTACAACCCAAGTGCCCCTGCCTCATTCCCAGGGCTGATACCCAGCACAGAGGTGAAGAGAGAAGGCATTCAAACAGTGGCTTCCCAGGATGGAGGCTCTGTAGTAACTTTTACTACGCCAGTGCAAATTAACCAGTATGGCATTGTCCAGATCCCCAATTCCGGAGCAAATGGCCAGTTCCTTAACGGGAGCATTGGATTCTCTCCACTGCAGCTGCCTCCTGTTTCAGTGTCAGCTTCACAAGGTAAAAGTTTCCCTTGCTACCACAATGCACCAGTGACTATTTTAGTCAGCTGCTGCACATGACGCTTTTGGTAAGAGCTATAGATTGATGTCACTGGTCAGGTACCTTATTGACTGCCACAGCTGCAGAATAGCTGTGAATTCTTTGTCCTCTGCAGCACCATATCCAGCCTGCTTGATTCCCTGTACCATGGGGATGAGCTTTTATTTTCCTAACAACTGAATGGAAAAATACAGTTTGTAGCGAGTCTTGCCAGTTCTACAATTATAGAAATATGAGAAGTCAGTTGGTGCTTACAGAATAACCCATTGCTTGACATTTTAAGATTAAAAATTAATAATATGGCTAAGAACACAAAATTGGTCGAGCAGTTGGTAGAGTGTATGCCCTTCACCTAAGCATTATTTATTTGACCCAAAATGATATTTTAGAAGATAAAGCTAAAATTGTATTCCATTGTATTATTTAACAGACCTAAAGGAAATATTAGAAAAGGAATCGGATATCTATTGCTCTACTTGTACACTTGCCCCCATGTGTGTGAAGACAAACCTAAGTATTATTTTGCATGTTTATATCTTTATTAAAGGCAATCTAATAGATTAAGAACTGGTCTGGCATTCAGGAAATCTGAAACTGATATGCCAGTTCCTCACTACTTGTTTTAAACAAGTCTGGATTGTGCTGTCATTTTCTCTATATAGAAACAGGAATGGTTAGAATGGCAGTCAAGGTTGCAGAGCCCCTTGAATTCGGGAGTGGGAGGTCTTAGTGCAGGCTTGTCTAGACTATTTGGAAGTTTAGGTTTTGCTTCATAGAAGCAAAATAAATAATTGTTTACCTTAAAGGTAATATTCTGTAAGTTTTTATTTTTTCAAAAAACGAGCCATGAATTCACAACTCATTTCTGAAACTGTTTCTGCTAATGTGAAGCATTAAGAGAAAGGTTGTTAGGAGTAAATTCCATTCTTTGCATTTGCATTTTTTTAGGTAAAATGGTAGTACAACACAATAGTCTCACAATATACTGTTAATGTCTTCATTGTTCTAGGTTACTGAGAAAATTAAGGCAAGTCTCTATACAGCATAAGACAAAAAATATGCAAACTACAGGGAAAGCCAGAATGCTTAGTTTTATAGAAATTTAACTCTTATTCTCTCATCAGGAGAATTTCCGAGCAGTAGTTGATGTTTCTTTAAAAACAAACGAAAGCAAAAAATATACTATGTATACTGAGAGAAAAGCAGAAATACTTTTCATATGTCATTTTAAAAAGTGCTACTGTAAGAAATTATTAGAAACTCATCACTAAAATTTTTAATGGAACACTTAATAGGAATTTAAGATAAGTAATATCAGCTAAAAGAGCTAAGATCAAATGATAAGGTCAATCCTTAGATTGGGTGACTTGAATGTGTAAGTTTAACCAGATGGATTCAGAAGACAATGTGCCTTTATAGTAATTGTGTATTGCATGTCTCTGAGTACCTAATTGCAGAGACATTAGGTTAGGTACTCAGCCCTTCTCAAAAACAGATACTGAGCCTTTTTTTTTTTTTAAGTAATGTAAGAGTACTGCTATTTATTCAGCCATTGATTGAATTGGGCATAAACTCCACATTATTTTTTTTAATTTTCTTAAATTGAATATCCATGAGATAGACCATTACAAAGCTGTTCATAATTGGGTTTCAGTCATACAATGATCCAGCACCCATCCCTCCACCAGTGTACATTTCCCACCTCCAATGTCCCCTGTTTTCCCTACCACCATCCCCCAACACCACACCCCACCTCCCACCCCAGCCTCCCTCTATGGGAGGCACTTTCCTTCTTGACTGAGCCTTTCTTAAAAATGTTTTAACAACATAGTTGGAAAAACAGAACATGTACATCATTTACTCACTTCAATATCTGGAATAAAAGTTTTTCTTATCATTATGAAGTCATACTTTGAATCGAAATGATCTTTTCAATTATAAATATTTTTACAATTTAGAAATTTTTACTTTATAATTCGATTACTTTTTGTTTGTTTTGTTGGTCACACTTCGTTGTGCTCAGAGACTTCTTCAATCTGCTCTGGTGTCACTCCTGGGTGGTGTTCAGGAACCATTTGTAGTACTGGGGATCTAACTGAGGTTGGCTATTTGCAAGGCACATCTTTAACCCCTATACTTTCACTTTTCACCTTTCAGTAATACATATTTTCCTTTTAGAAAAAAATTTTAACTTAATCACCATGAGATGCACTGTTTAAATGAACAATTAAAGCTGTTCATAGGGGCTGGAGCACAGTGGGTAAGGCATTTGCCTTGCACACGGCCGACCCGGGTTCGATTCCCAGCATCCTGTATGGTCCCCCAGGCACCACCAGGAATAATTCCTGAGTGCATGAGCCAGGAGTAACCCCTGTTCATTGCTGGGTGTGACCCAAACAGCAAGAAAATAAATATTAAAGAAAAAAAAGCTATTCATGACTGGGTTTTAGTCATACAATGTTCCAACACCCATCCCTTCATCGGAGTACATTTCCCACCACCAACGTCCCCAGCTTCTCTCCCACACCCCCACGTGCAATATGTATTACAATTTTTACACACGCAGAAGTGTTGTTTATGTTCTTTAATATCTGGGGGAGATGTCAGCTCTTATAGCTTTATCTAAAAATAATCTTTTAGAAGTTCAAATACAGTGCTTTCATTTCTCTCCTTTTCATTGCTTTTTTTTTTTTTTGGTGCTGGGAATCAAAAAATAGGACTTTATACATATTCTCCACCATTGAACTACATCCCCACCTGTTTTTTCATTTAAGGATATTGCCTTGTTTAAAAATACTTGAGAGTAGGTTGGAGTGATAGTTCAGTGGGTAAGGCACCTGGGGAACTCAGCATTCCACATAGTTCCCCCTGCAACACCAAGGAATAATTCCTGAGTGCAGAGCCAGGAGTAACTTCTGAGGATGTTACTCCCAGTACATCCCAGGTATGTATACCAGGTATACATCCCAGGTATGGCCCCAAAACAAAAAAAAAAAACTTGAGAGACAGCAATATATATCATTTATTAATTTATATAGATGGTATTATAATCACAGTTATGATAATTAAGAAGGGAAAGTTTCAGTGAATTAACTTTAACAATGAGTAAAGTTTAACAAATAGTAACATTTCCTAAAAAACATCTTATGCATGACAAAATAAATAGCAGATCTGAATTATTCTGATAATTCTTCCCCAAATCTATTTTCCTTTAATAGCAAGATGATTGGTATCAGTTATTTCACTGTGCCTATGTAAAGACAAATTAAATTTGAGATTCTGACTTATCTATTTTCTTGAGTTAACCTCATTTGAGCTTCTCAGCTTTCAACTCAACTTCTGGTCTCTGCAGAACATTATAGAGGTCATTGAGAGTCTCAAAAGTCTCAAAACCTTAAGAGAAGCACCAGTGTGGCTGGAACGATAGTACAGTGGGTAGGGTGTTTGCCTTGCATGTGGCCAACCCGGGTTCAATTCCCAGCATTCCATATGATCCGCTGAGTACAAAGCCATGAGTAAACACTGTGCATTGCTGGGTGTGACCCAAAAAGAAAGAGAGAGAGAGAGAGAGAGAGAGAGAGAGAGAGAGAGAGAGAGAGAAGCACTATCTCTGATAATGGTGGTGGGGTGTTGTTGAACCTCACCCGACAATGCTTAAAAGCAGCTCTCTGTGTGGGGGCAGGGGGGGGACGACTGTGTCATCTGCTGACCTGAATGTGAATGTCTTGGTTTCCCCTCTCCATATCCAAAGCAAGTGCCTTTACCCCAGTACTTTCTCTTTAGCCCCAATATTTCTTTTTAAGAAGCACAATTTATTATTTCTTTCCTTCACTACAACAATATGAACAGTCAGAACTGGTACAATGTGAGGAAAAACAAAAACTATTAAATAAATTGTTGACTTAACATTACCTCAGTTTGGTAAAAGTTTGAAACTTGTTCTTACAAGTGTATATGAGCCCCAGGGTAAAAAGTAAAAGTAAAGTAAAGGCCCTCCCATATGGATCATCGATTTGCTCCAGCGGGCCCAGTAACATCTCCATTGGAGACATTGTTGTTACTGTGTTTGGCACATCGAATACATCACAGGGAGCTTGCCAGGCTCTGCCCTGCGGGCGAGATACTCTCAGTAGCTTGCCGGGCTCTCCGAGAGGGGCCGAGGAATCGAACTCGGGTCGGTCATGTTGGCTGCGTGCAAGGCAAACGCCCTACCGCTGTGCTATCGCGCCAGCCCCAGGGTAACTTATTTTATGTGGTATTGTCTACATTTCTATTTATATTTTACATCTGCTACAGAACTTGTCCTTAAACAAAGTCATTGGGGGTCTGAAAGAGTGCAGCAGGTCAGGTGTTTGCCTTGCTGCTGACCAGTATTTGATCCCTGGCATTGCATATGTTCTTCCAAGGTGTGGCACAAAAGCAAGTAATTTTGCATTTATGCATTGTATAACTATCAGAGTTGGCAATAGTTGTCAACTGAATAAGAGATATCAAACCAGGGACTGAGCGATAGAACAGCAGGTTAGGGCATTTGCTTTGCACATGGCCGACCCTGGTTCAATCCCAGCATCCCATATGGTCCCCTGAGCACTGCCAGGACTAATTCCTGAGTGCAAAGCCCGGAGTAACCCCTGCGCATCACCAGGTGTGACCCAAAAGCCAAAAAAACAACAAAAAAAGATAGAGCGAGAGATATCAAACCAGCAGTAGTAATCTGGAAACTTGGCTGGAATTATTAAATCTTGTAGAAGAATGTTTCATACTTGTTTTCTAAACCAGTTTATTTTTTTTGTCCTTTGTTTCTTTTTTTGTTTTTGTTTTTTGATTGTTTAAAAAATACACCCGTTCTAGGATTCACTGATTCAGAGTCTCAGAAGCAGAACCTAGTTTTAAGTGCTCAAAGTGATTCCATTGAACTTGAGAAAATTTGTGTGTTTAAAAATAGCTTTTTCTTTATCACTTCCATGAATGACATTGTATGCTTTTTTTTTTTTAAGGTAACATTTCAGTAAATTCAAGCACTTCTGATGGCAGCACATTTACAAGTGAGTCCGCCACGGTTCAGCAAGGAAAAGTTTTCTTAAGCTCACTTGCTCCCAGTGCAGTGGTATATACTGTTCCTAATTCAGGCCAGACTATAGGATCTGTTAAACAGGAGTGCTTGGAAAGGAGCCTGGTGTTTTCTCAGTTGATGCCTGTCAATCAGAATGCACAAGTAAATGCAAACCTATCCTCTGAAAATATCTCAGCAAGCGGCCTTCATCCACTGGCCTCCTCTTTAGTAAATGTATCCCCAACTCACAATTTTCCCCTGACTCCCCCAACCCTGCTAAATCCTACGGAGCTAAACCCTGACATTGCTGATAGCCAACCAATGTCTACACCTGTGGCAAGCAAATCTACTGTGACCTCTGTCAGCAACGCTAACTATGCAACTCTTCAGAACTGCCCGCTTATTACTGGTCAAGATCTGTTGTCAGTCCCCATGACTCAGGCTGCCCTTGGGGAAATAGTTCCTACAGCTGAAGACCAGGTGGGTCACCCTTCCCCTACGGTTCACCAGGACTTTGTCAGAGAACATCGCTTGGTTCTGCAATCAGTAGCTAACATAAAAGATAATTTCTTAACAAATTCTGAAAGCAAAGCAACAGACAACTTAATGATGCTGGACTCAAAATCCAAGTATGTCCTAGAGGACATGGTTGAGACTGTCTGTGAAGATCTAGAAACAGACAAAAAAGAACTTGCCAAGCTCCAGACTGTCCAGTTGGATGAAGATATGCAAGACTTATGAACTTTATTTCCCTTTTCTTCCTGGCATCAGGGGATAACTCTTCACGAAGCCCAGAGGACATAATGCGTTTTCCAATTTAAAGAGAAACATTAGTTTTGCAGGTAGATGCATTCAAGAAACTCTGGATTGATCTGCAATTGAAGATCACAAATATACGGGAATAGAACTGCATTACTACAGCCTTTGACTCACATTTGTTCTCTTAACTAGATGGAGACAAATGAACGAGATGAAATATATTAAGGCAAAGTGTATAATGTAACTGACAATAGAATTCTAAGGTCAAATGGAACATGATAAGTGATTTCTTAAGTTAAAAAATAGATACACCTAAGATAGCAAATTAAATGTCATTACAGAGCTCTCTAGAAACAATACAGTTTTTGTTTACTTTTTACTCCATGGGCATTGACAAGGTTAAGAAATACAAATGGTACTCCACCTATTCTAAGTTAATTTTTTTTTGAGTATGTGCTTTTCTGTTTTTCAGCATTTTTGTGAAGTCTTGTTTGTCTGTACACATTTCCAAATGTGATTGCTAATAGTTCAGTGTGTCTGAGAAAGTTTGCAACTCCACTAAAAACTCTGAAATATCAATCTTCCTTATGGGTGTAAATATACTAGTCCTACAAGCAAGGATTTCAGTAATTACAGTGAATTTTATTTATGCTGTACATGTTTCTCATACTTCTGATACTATGAACTAAAAAGAAAAATGTTTTCTTACTGTTTAATTTATTTTTATTGTTTGAACAGGAAGTTTTCCAACAAGGTGTCCAGTTCCAATGAAGTTTTCATTTTTGTAGGACTTTAAAAGTAATGATTTTTATCTGGAGTCTGTTGTCAATATTAACACTGAAATAGGAATTTTATTGGAATTTGGTACTTTTTTTTGCATATGTGTTCTTAGTTAGCAACTGATTCATTTAAATATGTTTTCTATAGAATTCTATGTGCCTTTTTACCTTGTGGCCTTTTTATTCTTAAGGTATAGAGTGTCAACAGAAGCACTGATGGCTCTTTTCTACTTAACTAACAGGGTTAATTTCACCACAGAATTGCTTTAAATCTGAAGAACTTGAGTTGTCATTTATTTGTAATGTTTATGATGCAAATGGATGAACAATAATTATTGCTGATGTTTTCATTGCAGTGAAAATAACAGTTTTAGACCACCATGTAAAATCAATCCTGTAGGCTAGAACGCAACTATTTTAAAGAAAGAATATGTAAATTCTATTGAGCAAAGGCCCATCCTCTTAAGTCTAGTTCTAAATGTTTTAATTAGTTGTCACATTCTGACATAAGACTGTTGTTTGCACTATATTATCCTGTCTTTAAAGGTAAATCTTTAGGGTTTCTCTAAGAAGCTCTTTTTTAAATAGTATTGTGAGCTGTGATTATAGTTTTTATTAGGCCTCTGGACACAAGGTATAATAATTCAGATAGATTTGTATAGTGAAGTCTCTGGTCTCTGAAAAACAAGAAAGGTGACAGTGATGTCTTCAGAAATTTTTAAGTTGAGCATAAAGTTACTAAATTTTGTTTTCTTAGAGTCAGAGAGATAGCACAGCAGTAAGGTAAGATCAGCCTTGCACACAGCCCACTCAGGTTCGATCCCCAGCATCCCATATGGTCCCACAAGCACTGCCTAGAATGTTCCCTGAGCACGACCCTAGGTATGGCTCAAAAAGGAAACAAACGAAGAAAAAAAATTTTTTTTTGCTTTCTTAAGGATCAGAGCAAAGCGTGCATTCTAGATGTCTACATACCCATGTTGAAGAAGAGCCACAGAGGATTTAACGTTTGTTAGTATAAATGGAACTTGCAGGCATAGATAAAGAAGAGACCTATTAAGAATTCCTTTCCATCATGTTGATAACTTAGATCCCATTTTTAATGGAATTAGTGAATATTTCTAAACTGCTGAAACTATTTTTTTTTGTTTCTTTTCTTTTGTTTTTACAAAGTCAGGTGTTTTAGAGTTCCACTCCATTTATACAGCTTCTCCCCATCAGTTTGGGTGTGTGCTGATCATATTACTGAAATGAATGACATGGTTCTATGGTATAATTTACATGGAAATGATGTTTATTGCTTGATTGCTGCAGGTATCAAGAGTCTGTTGATTATTTTTAAATGGCCATTTAGTAAGGGAATAGATATATATGTATAAAATCTGGAAATGTTTTACATGTCTTCCAAAGTCTAATTCACAGTTCTTCCTCTTTTCTCTTTTAAGAAAAAAAATGGCACAAAACATTAAGACTTACCTAGCACACTCATGCATACTCTCAACATCATGTAATTATGCCCCTACAGTTATCTAGGTAGCTACACAATATACCAGGTAAGAATCAATGCACATTATAAAGAACTTACTGTTCTTTTCTTTCAGTAAAATAAGGGCCAGTTGGTATATAGCCCACATATATGTGAATACATTAAGATAAACCCCCATGATCTCCTTGCACAGAATTGCAAATTTTTTTTTGTTTTTATTGTTTTTGCAATAAAGGGCCAGACTCTGAACCCTTAGAGTTCATGTGGCAGAATTTCTCTCTTACAGAAACCAATGCTTGAAGATGCTGCAAATAACCCTCTATTGATCCCCTCAGAGGAGTCAGAATTGGGGAATATAATATCTCTCCTGCAAGCCCCAACCCCTGCTGCTGGCTGTGGGATTTTTGATGTGAGACTCTCTATGCACTCAATCAGCCAGAATTGGCATTTAGCTCTTAGTTACATCTAGTAAAAGACAGTCTTGTTTAAAGAAGGTGCATTTGTTCCTCAATCAAGCAAGGGCACCTGTGACGTACTGTTTTATATATCATGTATATTTATAGTAATAAAATGAATACATTGTACACATTTCCATGCCTTTCTTGTGTTATAAAAAGGCAGGCAGACTTTATAGCCATAGATTAAAAATTCATAGTTATGAAAGGCAGGCGACTTTATAGCCATAGACTAAAACTCCATACCTAAATTGCACACTGACATTAAATCTCCTTGTATGTGCCCCTGCATCTTGCATGTTGAAGGATGAATTATTGGGCATGTGTTGCAGCCTGCCCTGCTACATGTTAGACAAATGTGCATTAAAACATAGCTAGACATTCATTCTTTAAAATGGTTTTGACAGGTCTCATCATAAAAATATGAATAATTCAGGAAAACTGGGGAAAATAATTAAATTTACAAAATCCTTTCAAACTCTTCCTAGAACTTAGAGGATAGAGCTTAACATTTTTCTTAATTTAAATGATACATTTCATGTTAATTTAATATTACCATCGTACATTTTATTAATCAAAAATTATATCGCATGTAACTTTTGGCTTTCAGGGTTCTCAAAAAAATTTTTTTTATTCTTTTGTTGCATGTACTGTATGTTTAGAGGCAACCAGTTATATATACTCAATATGGTTTTACTGTGCCTTACACAAAGAAAATCTATACAGAATGTATATCATGGGGTGGGGTAACAGAGTCTTTACTGCACTGTTCGGTGATGGCACACAGAGCATGTCCCAGAACATTTCTGTGCTTAATTACCCAACCAAAGAGATCTAAAGTATGTATGTTGTACTGTAATAGGGGTTTATGCCTGGACAATTAAGTGTTGTATTTGTTTTCTGAAATGATGTGAACTTATTTTTCTAAACACTATGCTAAATAAACTTTATATTTATACATATCTTGTGTTGAAAGAGTTAATTATCCCTAGGATAGTGGAGAAGAGCAAAAAATAAATAACGGGCTGGAGCAATAGCACAAGCGGGTAGGGCGTTTGCCTTGCACGCAGCCAACCTAGGTTCGATTCCCAGCATCCCTTATGGTCCCCTGAGCACCGCCGGGAGTAATTCCTGAATGCATGAACCAGAAGTAACTCCTGTGCATCGCCAGGTATGACCCAAAAAGCAAATAAATAAATAACAAAAGCGACACATATAAAGTGGAAAATAAGAATGATTTGGGTGGGAAATCTGGGTTTTGTAAAAAAAAAGTTTATTACATCATCAAATCTGAGTGATTTAATTTTCATCCTCACATAATGGAAATGTATCTTTCTAATCTCGTTGTGATAACTGAGAATTTTGCAAGCACTTGTTTGTGGTGCTTACACATCTTGACAGTATTGGTGCTTGCTGGGGTCGCACTTTCAGTTGCAATGCTAGCACATGCATGAAATATGAACTGAAGTAATAGCTTTCGGAACCAGGGATCATAGATGGCAGAGCTGCAATATCATTCTCAGAATTATTGGGCAGCACCAGAGATTGAACTCAGCCACAAGCATGAAAGGCAGGCATCATGGGGCCACTGAACCATTTGGACCTCACTAGAGCTCTTTTTTTTTTTTTAATTTTGCTTTGTTTGGGTGTGAGGGGAAAGCACATTGGTGGTGCTCAAGACTTATTCCTGGCTCTGCTTAGAGATCATTCCTGTGGTGCTCAGAGTATACCATGTGGGATACAGAGCATATAACCTGGATCAGGTTCATGCAGGGTAAATGCCCTACCTGCTGTACAATCGCTTTGGCACCCAATATCGCCATCTTTTTTTTTTTAATTAATTTTTTTTTATTAGTGAAACACCATGAGGTACAGTTATAGACTTACAAATTTTTGTGCTTGGGTCTCAGTTATACAATGATCAAGTACCAATCCCTCCCCGGCGCCCATCCTCTACCACCAAGGGTCCCAGCATCCCTTCCACCCCCATCCTCCCCATCCCACCCTGCCTCTGTGGCAGGGCATTCCGTTTTGTTCTCTCTCTCTCCTTTTGGGTCCTGTGGTTTGCAAGAGAGGCATTGAGTGGCAACCATGTTTGGTCTATAGTCTACTTTCAGCATGCTTCTCCCACCCTGGGAGGATCCTCCCAACACCCTTTATTTGGTGCTCTCTTCTCTATATGAGCTTCCTTTTCCCCTAGCACGTGTGGCTGGCCTCCAAGTCATGGAGCAAAATTCCTGGTACTAATCTCGGCCATTCCTGGGTGTTAGTCTCCCATTTTGTTGCTTTATGTTCCCCAGATGAATGCAATCTGTCTGTGTCTATCCCGCTCTTTCTGACTCATTTCGCTTAACATGATACTTTCCATGTAGTACCACTTGTATGTATCACCATCTTTAAAGCACAACCTTAGCAGTCTGCTTACATATTTGGTTCTAGTACTCTGAAAAATTATGGACAGAACCAGTGTGAGAGTGTAGGAGTTAATAAGGTACTTATCTTGCAAAAGACTGAACCTGATTCTAACCCAGGTATTGCTTATAGCCTGATTCTCGAAAAGGTGTATCTAAGTGCAAAGCCAGGAGATCTGAGTACCACCAAGTATGGCAAAAAAAAAAAGTTAAAAAAAAAAATGATGAATAGAACTGTGTATAGAAGATGGAACTTTGGTATAAATTGGTCCCAATTTTAATATAGCATGACATTAATTTTCTATGCCTCCCTTATTGAAATTAAGAAATTAGGTGCCCTGACACAGAGGCAGGGGAGGGGGAGGGGGACCAGGGTGGGGATGGTGGGAGGGATGCTGGAACCATTGGTGGTGGACACTGGGTGGAGGGATGGATACTTGACCATTGTATGCCTAAAATGCAAGCA